AGAGACAGAGAGAGACAGAGACAGAGAGAGACAGAGACAGAGAGAGAGAGAGAGAGACAGAGACCGAGACCGAGACCGAGACGGAGACGGAGACGACAGAGACAGAGACAGAGACGGAGACAGAGACAGAGGCTGACCTCAACTCCTATCTTTTCCCTCTATCCCCGCTGCCGTCCTACTTTAGTCCTCTGTTGGGCCGGCGCCCGGCTGTCAGGCGTAAGCCTTAAAATATATGTTTTTCTTTTTTATCATGCTCAAGAGGACGCCTTTTTGTGACCCGGCATGTGCAAAGGTTGTGGTGCAGACGACTGTGAGTGGTGAAATGAATTCAGCCTTTACACCACGAACCCACTCGCATGTGTCAATGAATTATATTATATATATATATAAATCAATCAAGAAACAGAATGAAGGACAAAAGGCAAAGAACAGCATGCACCACAGCCAAACCACTTTGGTTGTTCATGCTTCCTTCCGGTTTGACGCAGTGCCCTGTAAAAATTGCGAACCGCAACAACCATCTGCAGCCAAAGGTCTTGGCTCCCATGCAGGGTGTGCCACACTCGTTGTTGCTCATCTGAATACCTCGATGTCGAGTGCAAAGCCCGATGCATCCTTGCAGGGTGTGCTTCGAAGAGTGGCCCCAACGAAGAATCCCCGATTCGTGACCTTGTCCCCGTAGCTTACTGGCTGTGTCCAAAAATGAAACTCACGCTTGGTGACGCTAGACCTTTCAAACCGTTTTGCTTCGCTAAACTCCCGCCTTTCAGCGAATACCAATCGCTCCACTGCTGAAAGATGCAGTCCTGCCTCTCGCATTGTGGCTTGCATGAAGGCATCCTTGGTACAGGGGCTTTGGCCAACAAAGGCATCATGATGCTCCTGCAGTAACCCCAGCGACTACCTTCCGACCCAGCCCACCCAGCCCACGATAGCTAAGCTGAGCATCTCCTCACATTTTCCGGTCTCTTCCTCACGTCCTCGACACTCACCCGAAACAAGCTTCACCTGTCAGGTGCTGGACTGCCACATTTGCTGATCCAATATGGCAATCGATGGTATGGAGCACCGAGATCATGTCTACACTCCACTATCTCGACTCTAGATTCTCCTGTCTCTCTCAACGAAGTGAACCCAAACAATGCCGCGGCTCTCGCGCATGCACCCCATGCGCCTGAGCTTTCTCAACCTCCTGAGCAATTGCCAAGCAGCTCAGCAAGGCATAAAGCCATGGCCGCCATGACCGTGCCATGGAGCCCAGCGCCCTGAACGCGGCAGCAAACGAAGTGAACGCAAAAGACCAAGAATCTCCTGAGGCAACCCCCACCACTTGGATGACACTCAGTGGCATTACTGGGTGTAAGCCCACATCACTTGACCTCGATCTCGATATCACTAGATTCATCCTTCCTGCCACCCTGCTGACCTGTGTATAGTCACAGTCATAGTCATAGTCATTTGGTGTATCCCATCACCACCAAGTGATTTTAATATAGCGGGTGATAGCACTTAGTAGGCACCTGTAGAATAGGCTTTTCTTGGTTCATGTGTTCATTTCGGCAGTACGGATAGACCTCAAAGAACAGTTGAGCCGTTTCTATCCTTGGGCATGCATTACCGAATTTGCATCGGAGTGCATCGTATCACTGTCAGAAACCAACTTCAAGAAGAAACAGTGCATCATCCCACCTTTCGAGCCACTTGTCAACTGATTATTTTGCAGCACCTTTTGGGGGCGCATTGAACAGGGTGAAGGACCGAAGACTTTCGAGCCTCCAGAAGGGCACAAGCTTTGGGTCCAAAGGTTTGGTACAGCGACTTGAACCAATGGCTTCGTTTGGGCAAATCTTTTTGCGCGCAAACCTCTTGACCTGCTTTGAATAAAGCATGGCACCTGCAATCCTGGAAGCTGGCTCAGCAAGTAGACACTAAAACGCAAAAGGGATCGCAACTGATCACAAATTCGGCATACCTATGTCAGGGCGTAGCGGCGTAGGACATAACCACAGGGTTGTTGCTTGCAGGCAAATCACGCTCAATGCTTTGCTTTTCATGCACAATCGATTGCTGAGCCGTAGGCAGGCTGAAAATCTGTTGAAAACCTGCTGAATTAGATTAAACTAAAATAGAATTAAACTATTACTAGCTTCTTGTTACTACTAGTAAGGCACCTGTTACTACTAGCGATGCACTTGTTACTACTAGCGTGGCACCTTGTTATGTACATGAAATTTGTCGGAACCGAGCCACTGCTGTGTCCAAACAACAATAGAGTCAGAACACGGGCTGAGAAAGCGCTGTGACTGAAATTTATCTAACAGTGCCTCTGAGAACCTTAGGGTCCAAGGATCTTTCCAAGGACTTCATGAAACTTCATTTACTGTAGATCGAAACTGCCCTCAGTAACCCAGAGATCCAACATACAGAGTCCAAAGGTTGGCAACCTGCAGCGAACAAAGAAAAAAATTGTGTACATATAAATATATGTGGGCAAATATGCCTGCTGACTCTGGAAAGAATCAAACCTGTCTTTGCCAATCAAATGCAACTACGAACCTCCAGAATCAATCTTCTCAATCGCAACAAATGTTGTGCAATCAAATGGCATCTATGCTTGAACAGGAACACCAATGATTCTTCCCATTGCCCCAGTGGTCACCAGGGTTCCACGCATACAACCAGCTGCTCAGAAACACATGACCACCTGCAACAAGGTCCCTGACAAAAGGGGACACGTCGACAGAATGAAATGCCACAGGACGCACGTGTGAAGAAGAGTCCCAGGGTCCCAAGATGCAAACACCAAGTCTTGATTTGCTGAACTCCGAGAGGAAGCCACTTCAAACCCAAACCACGCAGCGGCAAAAGTGAGGTGGTCAAGCATGCTCCAAGCGTCGTGCCGTCGTGCCTTCGGCAAGCTCTTCAGTGCACCCAAGACTGCATTGATTTGCTCCGCCAGGTGGATGGTCTGCCGGATTTGGACCTGGTTCCCCCATCGTAGCCCAAAAGAGCTTTGGCATGTACCCCGAGTCAAGGTTGTGCAAAAGGTTGTCAACAATTCCAAATGAGGAAGTACGTATCCAAAAAGGTTCCGACAAACCAAAAATGCTCAGTTCCTGTTTCAATGTGAATGCTGCAAGTCTTGCAGCCTTAGACCCGCATCCCTTCTTCCTTCCGCCATCTCCTTGCCAAGCTTCGGAGGTATATCTTCCACCCATACGGCTCTGGACAGACAAACCCTGCAAGTTCTGAGAGTTTGAAACAGCACAGCGAAACAATTCGCGAAAACTGCATATGATGATATTGCATTAAAAAACTACTAGGAGCAAAGGGCATCGTTACTAGGAGCAAGGACAACTCTTGGGATGCGACCTCCTCCCGAAGCTCCGCTGTGTGTGCTTGCACAGCCCCCTTTACCTGGCTACTTCCAGCTCAGGCGAGATAGTTGTCTAAGGTTCTGGGAGAAAAACACGAGTTCTGTGTGACACATTGTAATGCCCAGTCCATCTCGGCAAGTTCAGGCTGTTGATCCTTTAGATTAGAATCAAGACTGAACACGCAACTGGACTGTTGATAACCTTACAGGGCTGTTACACAATCAAACCCCAATTTTCGAGTGTTTCAAGTCTGAATTGAAGGAGAGCCAGTCAAATTGCATTGCGCTCTACTACCCCTCGCTCTCTCCCTCTCCATTGGTTCCGCTGAAGCACACTTAGGGCACCTCGATCAAGAACTCCTCTCTCTCAGCGTCGCTGGGAGTCTTGCCCACAACCTGATGAGCAAACAGAAAAGCTTTGATTATTTTAGAATGTTTTAGCGGAGCTTGGCAAAATGAAATGATGGAAAGGATACAACACGAAACCCATTGATTGATGCATTTCATTATCAAAGGGATCCAACTTAACTGAAATAATCACCTCGGGCAAGCGAATGTTGTGCTCATGTGGCGAGTGAGGAAAAGCATCGAAGCCCTTTTTCCCGAGAGCGTCTGCGAAGGGTTCTTCGTAAAAACATCTGTAAAACTACGTCTCATCTACATCTTCACATCTGCACATCTTCTGCATTTGCACATCTACATCTCTGCTCATCTTCACATCTACACATCTACATCTCTGCTCATCTTCACATCTGCACATCTACAGCTCTGCACATCTTCTACCTTTGCACATCTACATCTCTGCTCATCTTCACATCTGCACACCTACATCTCTGCTCATCTTCACATCTGCACATCTACAGCTCTGCACATCTTCTACCTTTGCACATCTACATCTCTGCTCATCCTCACATCTGCACATCTACATCTCTGATCATCTTCACATCTGCACGTCTACAGCTCTGCACAGCTCTGCTCATCCTCATATCTTCACATCTGTACATCTACATCTACATCTTCACGTCTCCACATCTCACATCTTCACCTCTCGCTCTTCTTTTCTTTCTCTCTTAAGGCGGGGGCGGCGCCGCCGGAGCACCACGAAACGCAACCCTCTGCGGAGACGGCGCGAAATGCAGGCGAGAGTGCGTGTTGCCCGGTCCGGCGCAACCCTCTGCGGAGATCGAGCGCGCCGAGGGCGCGAAACGCAGGTGAGATTGCGTTTTGGATTGGTCGCGCTTTACTTTTGGGGGGCATCTCGTACGAAACACTCGTTTTGGAGACTTGGCGCTTCACTTTTGGAGGACGTCTCGTACGCAACGCTCGTTTTCAAAAAAAAACTTGGTGCTTCACTGTTGGAGGACGTCTCGTACGAAACGCTCGTTTTGGAGACTTGGCGCTTCACTTTTGGAGGAAGTCTCGTACGAAACGCTCATTTTGAAGACTTGGCGCTTCACTTGTGGAGCAGTTGTAGTGCACATGTAGTGCGGGGAAGAGCTTTTCAGAGCTGGTCTCAGAAGTGGCCAATTTGTAGCGCAACTGTAGTACGGGAAAGAGCTTTTCGGAGCTGGACTCAGATCCTGGCCAGTTTGTAGTGCAAATGTAGTACGGGCAAGAGCTTTTTGGAGATGGACTCAGAAGTGGCCAGTTTGTAGTACAAATGTAGTACGGGAAAGAGCTTTCCGGACCTGGACTCAGACTTGGCTGGCCAGTTTGTAGAACAAATGTAGTACGGGAAAGAGTCTTTCGGAGCTGGACTCAGAAGTGGCCAGTTTGCAGCGCACGTGTAGTACGGGAAACAGCGTTGCGGAGCTGGACTCAGAAGTGTTTGCTTCTAGTGTGACATGATTGCTTCTAGTGTGGGCAGACCGTGCGGCGAACGCAGCGCCATGCGGATTTGCGAGGTCTTGGTGGGAAGTCCATTTGCGCGGCGCCGTGCCACTGGGGAGTGCGAAACATGCTGCGGTGTAAACGCGGCGTGTCGCTGGTGAGCGGGATGATTGGCGGTATCGCGCGATACGATTGCTTGTATAGCGTGTGGGCAGACAGCGTGGCGAAATTACGCTCGCGATGTCGCAGCGCCATGCGGATTTGCGCGGCCTTGGTGCAAAGTGCGTTTGCGTGGCGCCGCGCCACTGGGGAGCGCGAAGCATGCTGGTGTAAACGCGGCGTGTTGCTGGTGAGCGAGACGATTGGCGGTATCGTGTGATATGATTGCTTGTAGTGTCTGGGCAAACCGCGTAGCGAAATTACGTCCGCGATGTCGCAGCGCCATGCGGATTTGCGCGGCCTTGGTGCAAAGTGCGTTTGCGTGGCGCCGTGCCACTGGGGAGCGCGAGGCATGCTGGTGTAAACGCGGCGTGTCGCTGGTGAGCGCGACAATTGGCAGTATCGTGTGATACGATTGCTTGTAGTGTGTGGGCAGACCGTGGGGCGAAATTACGTCCGTAATGTCGCAGCGCCATGCGGATTTGCGCGGCCTTGGTGGGAAGTGCGTCTGCGTGGCGCCGTGCCACTGGGGAGCGCGAAACATGCTGATGTAAACGCGGCGTGTCGCTGGTGAGCCGGATGACTGGCGGTATCGCGTGATATGATTGCTTGTAGTGTGTGGGCAGACCGTGTGGCGAAATTACGTCCGTAATGTCGCAGCGCCACGCGGATTTGCGCGGCCTTGGTGGGAAGTGCGTCTGCGTGGCGCCGTGCCACTGGGGAGCGCGAAACATGCTGGCGTAAATGCGGCTTGTTGCTGGTGAGCGGGATGATTGGCAGTATCGTGCGTTATGATTGCTTCTAGTGTCTGGGCAAACCGCGCGGCGAAATATTGCGAAATTACATTCGTGATGTTGATGTCGCAGCGCCATGCGGATTTGCGCGGCCTTGGTGCAAAATGCATTTGCGTGGGGCCGTGCCACTGGGGAGCGCGATGCATGCTGGTGTAAACGTGGCGTGTCGCTGGTGAGCGGGATGATTGGCGGTATCGTGCGATATGATTGCTTGTAGTGTGTGGGCAGACTGTGTGGAGAAATTACGTCCGTGATGTGGCAGTGCCATGCGGATTTGCGCGGCCTTGATGGGAAGTGCGTTGGCGTGGCGCCGTGCCAATCAGGAGCGCGAAACACGCTAAACGCGGGGTGTCGCTGGTGAGCGCGAGGACTGGCGGTATCGTGTGATACGATTGCTTCTAGTGTATGGGCAGAACGCGTGGCCAAATTACGTCCGCAATGTCGCAGCGCCATGCGGATTTGCGCGGCCTTGGTGGAAAGTGCGTTTGCGTGGCGCCGTGCCACTGGGGAGCGCGAAACATCCTGGTGTAAACGCGGCGTGTCGCTGGTGAGCGGGATGATTGGCGGTTTGTAGGCTTGCTTCTGTAGTGTGTGGGCAGACCGTGCGGCGACTTTACGTTCGCGATGTCGCAGCGCCATGCGGATTTGCGCGGCCTTGGTGCAAAGTGCGTTTGCGTGGCGCCGTGCCACTGGGGAGCGCGAAACATGCTGGTGTAAACGCGGCGCGGCGCTGCTGAGCGGGATGATTGGCGGTATTGTATGATTTGATTGCTTGTAGTGTGTGGGCAGACCGTGTGGTGAAATTACGTCCGCGATGTCGCAGCGCCGTGCGGATTTGCGCGGCCTTGGTGGGAAGTGCGTTTGCGTGGCGCCGTGCCACTGGGGAGCGCAAAACACGCTGGTGTAAACCCGGCGTGTCACTGGTGAGCGGGATGATTGGCGGCATCGTGTGATATGATTGCTTCTAGTGTGTGGGCAGACCGTGTGGCGAAATTACGTCCGTGATGTCGCAGCGCCATGCGGGTTTGCGCGGGTGAGAGATAAGAAATGTTTAACGTATCAATGGAAAAATCCGCCCGCACCGAAGGTGCTGAGGCGTTTTATAGGGCATGCTTGCAATCCGTTAGTATCGTCAGTATACAATAGCTTTAGCTAGGGGGGGGTGCCATTTTTGCTCTAGAATCCTGTGTTTTTTCACGTTTTTGGAACCGGCTTAAAGTGCTTTCGCGCTAATGTTGGGTATCTTGAAGGCTTTAGGGATGCAAGAAATGCAAGTTTCTGCTTTGCATCATCTGCATCATCTGGACATTTGGCTGAACAGGTTCCCCTAACGGGGCTCAACATAGCTTCCATATTGCGTAACCACTATCTAACGGACGTGTCTGCGAGATAGGGACTTGAACGTCCGGG